TCATTCATAAGTAAGTATTGTCCTCAACACTCCATCGTGTTGTAAGTACCTAGTGATGGTTCCTCTATCCAAAATGGTCATTTAATAATCAACTATAAATATCCTGATTGAATACAATCCGTTAAACACTATTCTTGATTAATTTTTTTATATTCTACAATCTCAAAGTTGCTTCTTCAATTCTTATTTAGTTCGAAAGCATACTTGAATGGATTGAATAGATTTCATAAACTGTAATAATATGCACGGAACTTATACAACACAATGTATATTCAATCTGTCGACTATTTTCAATATACCATCAAAAGAAGATGGTAGAAAAGAAATTCTACCACCCGGTGTTTCCGATACAACACAACATGCACCAGTCAAATCACAATTGACGGAGAAGATTTGGAAGATGTTAAAACATTTACATATTTGGGCAGCATCATTGATGAACACGGTGGATGTGATGCAGATGTGAGTGCGTGGATCGGCAAAGCAAGAGCAGCATATTTACAACTGAAGAACATCTATAAATTAAAACAATTGGCAACAAACATCAAGGTCACAATTTCCAATACAAGTGTCAACATAATTCTACTGTATGGAGTGGAAACTTGGAGAACTATGAAAGCCATCATCCACAAAATACAAGTGTTTATTAACAGCTGTCTACGCAAAATACTTTGGATCCGTTGACCAGATACTACCAGCAATAACCTACTGTTGAAGAGAACAAATTAGAACAAACCAACTGAGGAAGAAATCAGGAAGAAGCACTGGAAGTGGATAGGACACACATTGAGGAGAGAACCGAACTGCGTCATAAGGCAAGCCCTCACATGAAATTCTCGAGGCCAAAGGAGAAGAGGAAGACGAAAGAACACATTAGGTTGAGAAATGGAGACAGACATGAGAAGAATGAACAAGGTATTGGATGGAACTAGAAAAGAAAGCCCAGTAGAGAGTGGATTAGAGAATGCTGTTCCATTGTGAGTGACAGGCATATATTCTAAATTTGTTTCCAAGTAAAAAAGCAACAACAAAAAACTCACAATTAACTTTTGTAAAACTAAAAAAAACTTATAAATCTCTCATTGTAATTCGAAGTTATATTGAATAACACTGGTATATTTTTCATGATATCAGAAAAACAAACAAACAAACCCAATGATAAATGATAAACGAAGTTAAATTTAAAAAAAAAAAAACCTCTCACGCTTTTCCATCTTTGAATTCATTATCAATCAATTCACATAAGAAACTAATGTTTCTAATGTAACACTATTGGACTGCAAGTTAACTGAACTGACAATAGGCGCCATATGGAATCAATTTAAACTATGAGAATAATGTATAAACTATTGTGACACACGTACACATGCACATATACACTTTAGAGAAATATGTATTCAAGTACTTTGTTATTATCGATAGACGTTTTTTTCCTCATTCATGTATTTTATAGTGTTTTTCTTAGAAAATCTATGAATAGACAACAAAAATGAAAACTTGAGTTACATTTATTCTTGGTCACGGAATGTAGTTTTTTTAATTTTCTGTTTATTTATCTAAGCTACTTATAAGTAGTTTGAAGGTGGATTTCGTACAGCACAAGATGTAACTCATAATTAATCATTGATATCCGAAGGGGTTTTGTGGAGATTGCAGTAATTTCAACAGTTGATATCATGAGTCAATTGAAGCTAAACCACCATGGAAAACCTGGAGGCACTGGATGGCCGTTTCGTCGTATTGTGACACTCCTCAGTAGTGCGCATCCACGACCCCGCCTCAAGAGACTTGAACCCAGGACCTATCAGTCTGGCGAACGAACGCTTAACCAGCAGACCACTGAACCGGCATCCAACGTTGTTAATGTCTAACTTCAACTAATCCACGAAATTGAACGAAACATCCACCATTGTTTTCAGTGAGTTACTATCTCACAACAGACCCGATTGAACTCCATTGGTCACTACTTTTCACTAGAACTCCAGGAAATATCTCTTGAAGCCAGCCACTTGTGAGCATATGTTAATTAATATCAGAAGGGGTTTTGTGGAGATTGTAGTAATTTCAACAGTCGAGATCATGAGTCAATTTAAGCTAGACCATCATGGAAAACCTGGAAGCACTGGACGGTCGTTTCGTCCTATTGTGGGACTCCTCAGCAGTGCGCATCCACGATCTCGCCTCGTGGGATTCGGACCCAGGACCTATTCATTGATAACCCTTGTTTATTCTAGTCAACTTGGGTCGTTCGCGTTTTACTTCTCAATATTAAACAGATTAATATGGAATCATGGGTGGTTTTAAACATTCAAATTGTAACAAATTATGATACCCTTTCAGATAATATTCTAGAAAATTAAAATATTCGAATCTTTCATGTGTCATCTTTTGCAAGTTTGGCAAATGGTAGTTACAGGTCACGAATGTAATTGATTAACCGGATGTTCACCTTCTTAGTATAAAGAGTTTTATGAATTGTTGAACTTGTGATTTTCTCCACAGACTGAATTCATTTAGACAATCATTGAAAACCAGTATGGATTGTGCAAATGTTTTATCTTACCATGGGACTCTCCAAATATGTACAAATACGACTCCAACAGGATTTGAAGTCAGGAGACTCAGCTCTATCTTAGTTTTCATTGACTTTTCATTTTTGAATTCAGTCAATTCACCTTATAACATGACTATTATCCATTGCAATGAATGATGTTTGTCTCACTCCTGACATGACTGAATTCCAGTACTCACGGCTTCCTAACAGAACTCTAGGTATTACCTCTAGAAACTAGTTCCTTAATAAGTACAGAGTGATATTTTAACACAGGGGACTATGGAAATCTTATAATTATTCAATTTTACAACAATATTATCATTTGAATATTTTTCATCAGAATGTGTCTATTGTTCTGTGTGATGTGATAACCAATTGTAGGAAGCAATTTCCTACAAGTGTAACTCTAAGCTATTCTCTAGACTGTCGAGCACAGAGTCTTGGTTTAGCCAAATTCAGAACAAGTAAGCTATTTGGCTTGATAAACTTTATGTGTTTGAAACAATAACTAGGGGATAAGAAAAATTAATTAACAAGGCAAATATTGTTTTATAATGAACAAAAATTGCGATTGGTGAATAAACAAGAAATAGTCATACAAGGTCAAAGAAAGTTGATGTGGTGGGCGTTTCACTTTATCATTGGTGAGTCCGTTTATCGATCACACTTTACACTCCCCCCGAAACGCGCACCACGTCCATTGTCCTGGGTCGTCGTCGCCGTCAGATAACCGGCTTCTTCTAGTAGGCATAGGCTTCGTACGTCCGGAACGACTTCTTCGTTTGCAGTTCTCAACTTTGCTGTACGAACTCGTCCATCAGGGCCATAGCTTACCTGTTCGACAATGGCTTTAAGCCATAGATTTCTCAGTGAGCCAATATTGTTACTAACACCAAGTCTCACGATTGTAGGTTCCTTCTCATGTCCAACCACTTGAATCTCGCCTGAAGGGTTGGTAGGTACTCTCATAACCAACTGTTCCAGAATAGGTTATATAAGCACTTCTTACTCATCTGCGCTTCGTCGAATGATACATCTCTGTAAACTAACGATAACTTATTTGGCGTAAGTACATACACATTATCACAGTCACTAACTAGCTTTAAGGGTGGTCGATTGTTCAGTATTCTTTCAGCTTTTATTAAAAACGTCCCTAAAGACTCATCCGTCAATATCTTCTGAAACAAAAGTGATTGCAGAATTCTTCTTATTGACTTTATGATGCGTCTTCATACACTGCCTTGTTGACTAGCTTTTGGAAGGTTAAAGCGCCATTCACAACCTATATCTAAAAGGGCATTTGCTACCTTATTCTGGTTTCAAATACACATGATCTGTCTAAGAATGGCATTGGCTCCTGTAAAGCTACCAGGTGCACTTTTAGTTTTATTCACAACTCATACAAGGACGCTTTTCTCAACACCATCCTCGATACCACGACGAATATGTGCTGCCTGCTTCTTCTGGGTCTGAGTTACTGGTTTCTTTGTTGCAGTGGTCTTAGGCCTTTTCGTAGTCTTGACTTTCAGTTTGGTGTCCTTCTTTTCCTTAGGCTTTCTTAGAGTTGATTTAGGTTTATTAGCAGATGATGCTTCAGTTTTTGGCTTAAAAACTTTGGACTTAGTTAACAAAAAGGAAAAATGAACTTGACGAGAGACATTTTCGGAACGAGCATACTCCGCAACACCATATGCAGATTCTGAAGCATCGGCAAAGCAATGAATCTGACTAGCCAGTGGTTTGTACGATTCTGGTAATGCTATACGATCTTCAACAGACATAGATGAAGTACGACTAAATGGGTCTTTGAATTCAGTTGAATACAATTGTTCAAACTTATCCTCTAATTTCTCCTTATCCGAGAGGTAATTCAGTACACAGATCATTAGATGCTAACTTAATGGTCTGATTGTCAAGCTTTCATCAAGTGGTCTCAAGCTCTTAAGTTAAATTTTTAGTAAGGTGTGTATGGCTTAAATATTCAATACTAGAATAAAACAATTGTCCTGGTTCTCATTGGTTGTTTAATCGAAAACTTACAGCAATTTAGAAGATTCTCCCGGTCTTCCACATTGTACGAGTGTTCCGTCTACATAACTTAATGATTGCTCTGGTTGTCAGAAGGGGCATCAGCATCGTGACTTCCAAAGCAACACGGCTTTCACCATGAGGCGTGATAACTCTTCTTAATGAAAGCCTCCTAACTCCTAGGGCAGAATTTAAATGGTTTGAATTATCTTTTTACTGGTCAGCGTTTCTTTTAGCGAGTTGGTTTTCTACGCGATAGGATCACTAACCCCATGTCTAAACCTCCTCCTTTATTCTGGCTTGTGACCGTCAGTAGCCTCAGAGGGGCTACAGGCGGAGTTAATCTAAAATTTATTCATAACGAAAAAGACATAATCATCATATTATTTGCTTTTCCCTCCTTTCTTCCTTATCTTAGATTTGAATATTAAGCCATCCAAAACAAAATCCAGTCACCATCATCATCAGCAACAACAGCATCATAACAACTATCATCAAAAACAAAGAAATTCTCCATCACCAAAAAAATCAATAATCAATAAACTATCACCAAGTGAAATAGATAGAAATAAATTACAAAATTCTCATTATATAACTAATTTATCACCAAAATTATCCTTGGAACAAAAACTAATCAAGACAACAGAGATTATCCCATCTACAATAGAGAATATATTACCATCATTAACAACAACAACAACTTCATCTGGTATACCAATGCCACGTCAATTCAATTTATATCAACAATCTAATATGAATTCACATCATATGTCATCATCATCATCATCATCCTCTTCAAAGATTAAAGAATCTCCAACAAAAATGGAACGTGTTCCATATATAAATTATCCAATTCAAAATCAATCAACTTTAGATAATCATTCAATTAATAATACAACTTGTCATATGAATATGAATAGTATAGATAATACATATCAAACAACTAATATTCAACCACGTATAACATTAAGTCAATTTTATCATAATACTACTACTACTACTACTACTACTACACAAAAACACTATCCATATTCAATAAACTATAATCAATCAATAACATGTATGAATAAATTATCTGGAAATATTATACATACTACTACTAATACTACTACTCCTACTCATCCTCCTCATCCTCATACTACTATTACTGCTACGACGACGACGACGACGACGACTACACCAATGAATATTCATCAACAAAATACAAACCAAACTTTAAAACAAATAACTACATCTCAAGAACTATCATCATCAATGAATTATTCACCTTCTCTACCACCGCCGCTGCCTCATCATCATCATCATCCTTCACATTATCATCAACATCAACATCATTCTATCCAACATCCAAATACATTTATCTCGGGAACAAATGAAGTAAGTGAAAAATTATTATGGTGGTTATGCATGATATTATGAAAATAATTAATGATAGAATGGAAGAGACTATAAGTTATGGACGAACTAATCAGGTATAAGATAACAGGTCTTTGGGATTTTGACGCGTGAAATTCACTCATCCATTTGGATAGAGTTTTGTCATTATAGATGATGTCATTTCGTGATGAAAACCCCCTAAATCTAATTTCTAACTGTTGGGGTGATCTAGAAAACTTCTCGTAAAAGACAAGAAAGGCTCAGGAAACATTAAGAAGCATTTCATCCATTCAGTGTTCACTTGAAGTTTAGCCAGAAATATCAAGAAAGTGAAAAGTCACATGTAGAGTTTCTGATTGGCTGATTACTATATTGCTATTATCTTTAGTAGCATTCCAGAATCTTTGGGAAATCCAAAGACATCTAAAATACTATAAAAACCCTATATTTTCTGTACTAAAATGAACCTTTAGAGTAAAGTGCTTCTCGCATATTTTGCGCCTTTTCTCTCGTGTTCAATTCGCTGTGTAGTTCTAGTTTGTGCGTTATGAGAATAGCTTAGGAATCGAATAAAACGTTCACTTGGCAAGACTTATCACTAACCTTAATCATCAACTGTAAATTATAATTATAATTCCTCATACAGGTTCATAACCCTCATTTGATCCTGGTTATGAGGTGGACCCCCTCAAGGTCACTTTAGCACCTCTCAAAGATCGTCCATAAATTATAGATATGATTAGATTGGTTTAACTAAAAGTTGTCATAGTGATGTATGGCATATTCTGAAATAATCATCAAACTATAAGTATAGAGTTGTCTTAAATATTTTGGTTGTTGTGTCAAATATGATAGTTCGAAATCAGTATTCTCTTGATAAAAAGACTACAATGTTATCCTAAAAAAATTGAATAGATCAGTGATGAAGAGTTATTCTACGGCCTATATAAAGTACTTGTGATCGTCTATTAATATTACTTTGAGAAGTTGACTAAAAGTTCCACTAATATTTTGAGGTACTATAGTGTGAATGATTGTGTGAGAGACTGTAACTAATATATTGGGAATAACTTAGGAATAGTAGATCGTATAATGGTAGTCAATAGGTCGAATGGAACCTCATAATAAAAAGAATATACATATTACTTACTTAATTACTTAGTTACGCCTGTTACTCCCAATCGAGCATAGGCCACCAACCACTATTCTACAACCCACTCTCTACTGGGTATTCCATTCTAGTTCTACCCAATTACTGTTCATTCTTCTCATGTCTGTCTCCATTTCTCAACCTAATGTGCTCTTCCGTCTTCCTCTCCATCTCTGACCTTAAGGATTCCATGTGAGGGCTTGTATTGTGATGCAGTTCGGGGCCTTCCTCAATGTGTGTCCTATCCACTTCCAGTGCTTCATCCTGATTTCTTCCTCTACTGGCAGCTGGTTTGTTCTTTCCCACAGTAGGTTGTTGTTGATAGTGTCAGGTCAATGGATCCGAAGTATTTTGCGTAGATAGTTGTTAATAAACACCTGTATCTTGTGGATGATGGCTTTTGTAGTTCTCCAGGTTTCTGCCCCATAAAGTAGAACTGTCTTGACATTTGTATTGAAAATTCTGACCTTGGTGTATATATATAATCTAGTTACTTAATAGATATCCAATAGGAATACATGTAATAATAATAATCCATTAATAATCCCAATCAGTTACTAATTGAATATAAGTAGTATATTAAGCTGATAACTTTTTACTATTTTGTTATTTTTATTGTCTAGTTTCAACATCCAAGTACACCAGATCGATCTCATTCAATCAATTCAATATCAACAAGCACAATACAACCATTAATGTCTAGTTACCTTTATGATACACGACGTTATATGACTGGAAACAGTATATTTGAACAAAGGACTAATCAACAACAACAACAACACGTTCAACCTACCCAACAAACTCATCAATCTCATCATCAAACAATACCGCTTCAATCAAATTCACACATCATCAAAACTGGTATTCCTTATTCAAATGATACTAATATTATTTGTTCTACAGTTAACCAATCAATACCCATAGGTTTACCACCACCACCACCACCGATACCCCTCACACAATATACACAAATACACAATCATCCATCCAATGTAAACGTACAACAATACTCACCGATAATTCAACCATTTGTTCCACCGATTTCATATCGTCCAGCTGCTCAAGCGCCGAATTCCAATTTTATGCCAATTACACACTGTAATTATTCAAGTGTAACAAATACTGCTCCTACTGTCACCACAACGACGACCACCACTACTACCACTACTACTGTTTCTACTATCAATGGTATTGCTACAACTACAATTGTAAACAAGAATAATGCAGTTATAAGTCGTCGTGTTAGAATTCAAGAGCCAAATCAAGCTCAAAATGTATCTAATCATCAATCCATGCATTCAGTACAACAAGTTAATAAAACATCATTGGTAACAAAAACTAGACAAGAAATGAATGCGACTACTACTACTACTAGTAGCAGTAGTAATAGTACACCATCCAACCTGACATACAAATATTTGCCTAATATATCCTCTCAAACACCAAATGGTAAGTGAATTTCAAATATGCATAAAAGTGTAAATTTCCAGAGGTATGAATAAAAGAACACTTAATAATTAGATTACCTGTAATAATCTCATTTGATGATAGTCACTTTCATTCTATCTTATGCACTATTGGCCTATAAGTAATTACTAGGAACACTTAGGCAAACACTTTGTATTATATGATGATTGTTAAAAAGAAGTATCTGAAGTGTTGAGGTAATGAACACTCCCACTCGTACATCTTAAGCTTGATTGACTCAATATCGTAAATAAACATGTCATCATTAGTGTACTGTTCGAGTTACAACTGGTCTTTATAAGATGGAGATATATCCATTCATTATTCAATATACAAATATTAATATCACAGAGGTGGGAAACGAAAATTCACAGACCATCTTGAGAAGATTTATACTTAATCTTAAGAGTTGTGTGCAGCTTTTAATCAGTTGAAAAACAAACAACATAATTCATTTGGTATTGTTTTATTTGTATCTTTCCATTGTTATTTAAGACTGCAGTTGATCAGTCTCTTGTACATCAACTCTAGGATGCAATTACATTCATCTGACGAGTCCCAAATAGAACGAAACGCGAGTCTTGGATTTCACTGCTAGTCACTATCCATCTTTGCTTACAAACAACATAAGTGAACATTTAATTGTAGCAAAAGCAAACAAGAATTAAGTTTGGGATTTGGGAAATAGGATTACAATGAGTGATTGGTTTGTAGCCTTCTATATAAATAAATACATGGTCGGTTCTACTATTTCAAATCTAAGGAAAATTTAACTTACATTTAAAAATTCATATATCATTATTTAAATGTTAAATTTATTTTATCTCGATTTGTTTTTGACTACTTTTTACATTAAAAACTAGTAGTAATTATAGGGTTGTTGGGATTGTTGAATTTTCATTGAAATTATGAGCCCATCAATGTTAGATCACCATTGTGAGACTAGAAACATTAGACGGCTAAGTATGAGACTCCTCAGTAGAGCACAACCACAACCCTTCTCACGGGAATCGAACCCAGGACTCCCAGTCTGTTGTGCGAATTCTCAACCTGTAGATCATATAGATAGCATCCAACAGTGGTCTAGAGATTAAGTGTTTGCGTGTGAGACTGAAGATCATGGGTTCTATTCCTTCATGCGTCGTCATGGATGTGCATTACTTTGGAGCATCATACTATAGGATGGAACGGTCATCTAGTCCTTACAAATTTTAAATAGTTGTCTAGCTTAAATCAGTTCAGGATCTCAATGAAAAACTAATAGATTTATCAGGACCACTCTTTAGAACGTTTAAGTTTCTTTCTATCTTTTTTAGCCTTACCACACCAGTAAATCTTAGGCGTTATCGTATCGAAATATTGATAGGTGTTAATTTACTTTCAGCAAGGTACAAGGTAATGTCGTGCAAAATGCTATTTTCTCAAATCCGTCGGGTTTATTCGATAAGTATTTATTATGGCGTGTATTCGTGACTATAACTAACTGTGAGCTACATCACCCTAACTCACCTAACTACTAGTTGTCATTATCGTAAATACCGTAACTTGGTAATATACATATATTTTAGTCATTTAATATTCTCCTTTTATTAAAATATAATCAAGTGGAAGAAATTACCCAACCTTCATCAGAAACTACTCATTCAAATTATTATCATTCTCAATCCGGTACACTTAATCCTATCCAATCTACTGAAATAATTACAACACAGACGACATCATCAGGATTAACATCGTCAACTCTACCAGTAATCAACATAGAACAACAATCATCATCATATCATAGAAGTTTAAGTAAAAAATCAATAGACAATACAGAACAACGTCGTAAAGCTCGTGAATTATATGTTGCTTTAAAACAACGTTATCCATCAACTAATCATAATAACACTATAAATAATGATTCTGTAAATCCACATCGGCGTCATCATCATCGTCAACAACATCATCTTAATGATGATGATGATGATAATGATAAAATACAAACACCTGATATAAAAACTATTATAAAACCAAATCAGAATAATGAAACGAACCAACATAGAAATAACACATTGATTACACAATCCATTGAACAAAATAATACAAATCCAATAACTATACAAACATTACAAAAATCTAATACTTTAACTGATGATAATCTATCAAAAAATAATCAATTAATAAATCAATATTATTCAGAAAGTAATTTACAATTAATCCCATCAAAATCCAGTGAGATTCATCGAAATAATCTTGATCCACAACAACATTACCACCACCACCAACAGAAACAACAACAACAGCGATTTCAACAACAACAAGAACATGAACAGCAACAGCAGCAACAACAACAGCAGCAGCAGCATCAACAACAGCAGCAACATCAACAACAACGGCAACAGCACCAACATCAAGAGCAACCTCAACAACAACAACAACAGCGATTACAACCCAATCCATGTGTATCAGAGAAAGTTGATTTATTTAAAAGTAATTCATTACAATCTAATTTCATGAAAGAACATTTAATGATGAATAAGAAATGTAATTCATCCGATGATAATAATAATCATCATCATCAAATGAATCGAATCTATTGTGGTTATCAATCAGATAGTGGAATAGAATGTATTAATTTACCAATTCATAATACCAATTTCACATTACCATTACCAACAAAACAATCAAATATGAATGATTCATTACATCATACGAATATAATTGGATCATTGCCAAGAAATTTACATAATCCTTATTCTATGATATATCAATCAAAGATGTTAAATTTTAATTCTATGAAATCATCTATTCATCAAATTGATGTTCATCATGAACAACAACAATCTCAACAACAGGGAGGAGGAGTTGGACGAGGTGGTGGTGGTGGTGGTGGTGGAGACGAAGGAGAGAATCTAGGTAATTATGCACGTCGTATGCATGAACGATTACAAGAAGGTATGAGAGAAGCACAAGAATCATTATGGATGCCTGATTTACCAGAATTAAATAGAATAAATCGATTGAGTGACAGTTCATCAATGAATAATAATGGTAATAGTAATTCATCAACCGCACAATTATCTGATGGAATGACAAATTTAAGGTGAATTCTTATTTTAATGAATTAAACTTATATTTTGTTTGTCATAAATGATATATATTATGGAGGTTGGTTTAATTTGTAATAGTACTGAATAGATGTTTCATCTTAGTATGTTATTCTTCAGAAGTGTATACCTATGACTATGATAGAGGTCGAAACAAAGACCTCAAAGTTTCACAGTGAACATTTACTTACAGAATCAATAAATCAGTGTCCAATAGCATAATTCCAGCTTTAATTAGTTTTCGATATTGGTGGAGGTTTTGTTCTCTGAGCTGGATGGTTTGGTTGTGGAGCTTTTATCGTTATTCTGAATGAATTCTATCTTAAGTTTGTGTTGATGATGTTGCTCAGCGAACATAACTCTACCAAAATCATCCACCTGAGTTAAAAATCTCTTCCACCATCATATAATTTGCGATATAATACGGCGTTAATCCAACTCTGTTTATGTAGTGTTTGGTGCATTGAATAAACATTTTAATGAGACTTAGTAATCAATTAGACAGTCATGCGCTCAATTCTAATTACATATATTGTCATATGTAAAAACGAGTGAAAAACTTAGGCAACCTACTAAATTATTTTTTAAATATGATACAAATATTGCAATTAATCCGCCTATTTTAAATCCATTTGAACACATAGTGACTGTGAATGCTAACTTTGTGTACTGACAAGCTATTTTGAGAAGTTTTTGAATACATGTAGTGTAGGGATTGCTCGCATATTTTACGACCACCAAGTAGGCGATGCCTTGGTTAGAAATAGAGTACTAGATAAGGATGGAAAATCTATTGATATAGTAGTGACTCTTCATCAACTGAGATGGTTAAGACTTGTAATACATGTGCTCAACCATTACCTACCTTGACGGGCGATATTGTCTGGTGTAGAAGCAGAATGGAGGAGAGCTAAGGGCCACAGAACCAAAATATCACATCAGTTTATGAAGTCAGCGACAATTGAGCTGAGCTATGTTAACAAGTATACACCACTTGGTTGGGTTCCATATGATTATCGAAATCCGTTATTGGAGACTTTGAATAACATAACTCAAACGTATTTGCGGTGGCGCAGGTCCTGGGTTAGAATTCCTGTGAACAGGTTCGTGGATACGCACTTACGAGGATTCTCATATTAGAACCAAACGATCTCCAAGTACTTCCAAATTTCTAATCGTAACATAACATGAATCGATTCATAATCTCAATCAAAAATTACATTCATTCTCTTTCTCACAATTTGTAATTATTAACCTTTTTTTTCTTCAGTTCAAGTATCGATAGAAAAAAACAAACAATCATGAAAAACATCAAAACAGAACCTCCAACACAATTAAATGAAAAACATTCTAACATGGACAATTGTTTATTAACATCATCCTCAACACCACCATCACCATCATCAACATCAACATCAGTATCACCATCATCACCATCACCATTCATTAACTCTATAAACAATAATAATAATCATTCTGATTATTCTATTCATAAACAATCGAATAGTTATTCCCCCTTGAATTCAAGATTTGATTGGTGTCATAAATTACATAATAATCAACCAATCATAAACAATTTCCATTTACAATCCCTTAGTAACAATAATAATAATAATAATAATAATGAATATACTAATATGGATATAAAAAATGGTGTATGTTCAGATGTGGAAGATTTATTAAATCAACACGAAAGACGATTAATGTCCATTTCAGGAACTGGTAAGTTATAAATTGATATTTAATAATCTTTATTCATTCAATAATTTCATTGGTTAAGATCATGAGTCAGTTGAAGCTAGACCACCATGGAAAATTTGGGAAGCTCACTAGTGACTGACTTTGAGAGGTGGAGTTCAACAAGGTCGGTTATGAGATAGCAACTCACTGATGACAAGTGTATATAGTGGCTCAATTTCGTAGATTAGTTGAAGTTAGACATTAACACTGTTGGATGCCGGCTCAGAGGTCTAGTAGTTAAGTGCTCGCTCGCGAAACCAGTAGGTCCCGGGTCCGAATCTCTTGAGGCGAGGTCGTGGGTGCGCACTGCTGAGAAGTCACACAGTAGGAAGAAACGGCCGTCCAGTGCTTCCAGGTTTTCGATGGTGATCTTGCTTCAACCGACTTATGATCTTAACCGTTGAAATTACTATAAAATCTACAAAACCCATCTGAAATTAAATAATTCTCTTATTTTCTTTTGATTAAAGTAAACATACTTAATGTAATTTAATAGTTGAATTCATGAATGAATTGACGTTAGATCACCGTATAAAACCTTGAAGCAATGTATGGCCATTTTGTCTTAGTATGGAACTCCTCGACAGTGCGCATCCAAGATCCCGCCCCGCGAGATTGGAATTCAGGATCTATCAGTCTTGCGCGCGAACTCTTAATCACTAGACCACTGAGCTGGCTCTTCTATTGTACACACAACTACAAATAAAAGAGAAGATGACCAGTGTAGCAGCAGCCTCAGAAGCAATAGGTGTCAGCATACACAAAGGGAAAACCAATATTTTTCGACACAACACAGAATGCACCAATCGAATCACAATTGACAGAGAAGCTATGGGAGATGTAAATATCTTTACATATTTGGGCAGCATCATTGATGAACACAGTAGATCTGATGCAGATGTGAGTGCGTGGATCGGCAAAGCAAGAGCAGCATATTTACAACTGAAGAACATCTGGAACTCAAAACAATTGGCAACCAACATCAAGGTCACAATTTCCAATACAAATGTCAACACAGTTTTACTGTATGGCGCAAAAACTTGGAGAACTATGAAAGCCATCATCCACAAGATACAAGTGCTTATCAACAGCTGTCTACGCAAAATACTTCGGATCCATTGACCAGACACTATCAGCAACAACCTACTGTGGGAAAGAACAAACAAGATCCCAGCGGAGGAAGAAATCAGGAAGAAGCACTGGAAGTGGATAGGACACACATTGAGAAGAGCACTGAACTGCATCACAAGACAAGCCCTCACATGAAATTCTCGAGGCCAAAGGAGAAGAGGAAGACGAAAGAACACATTAGGTTGAGAAATGGAGACAGACATGAGAAGAATGAATGAGAATTGGATAGAACTAGGAAGAAGGCCAGTAGAGAGTGGGCTGTAGAATAGTGGTTGTTGGCCTATACTCGATAGGGAGTAACAGGCGTAAGTAAGTTAGTAAGTAACTGGGCTGGCCGGCATCCAACGGTGTTAATATCTAACTTCAATGAATCCACGAAGTTGCTCCACCGTCTGCTATTGTCATCAGTGAGTTGCTATCTCACAACTGACCCGGTTGAACCTCACTGGTCATGGATTCTCACTAAAACTCCAGGAAATACCCCTTCGAGTCCGTCAGTAGTGAACATTTGATGATTACAATTACAGAGAGGGGTTTCGTGGATATTTTAGTAATTTAGCAGTTGAATTTATGAGTCAATTAAAGTTATATCACCATGGAAAACCTGGAAGCACTGAACAAACGTTTCTTCTTCGTATGGGACTCCTCGACAGCGTGAAGAAACTGAAACTGACAGTCATAACTTGATTAATAGTGAAACGTTTGCTACTAAAAAAGCTTTGACAGTTGTTGGATAGGATACTTTAAAAGACATTAAATGAGAAGTTTCTAAAGAGTTTTGCTATTTAGATATGTGACCCCTTAGTTTATTCGATTATTTAACTTTCTACATCTTAGTAATGAACACATCTATGAGGAATATTTTGTTACATCATTCATTTTGAACAATTTCAAGCGTTTGATTCTTTAAGATAGATCTTTCTGACGGTAGATTATAAACTACATTGCAGATTTATTTAAATAGAGTGTCTAAGTTCAATTTATTCTTCGACTTCAAGAACATATTCAGGAAAATGTTTTGTATATGCTTGATCTCTATGATGAAAACATTAAACAGTTTTGATCAAATTATACTGCGGTGTGGGTTACTTATATTCACACAAGTAGTGTATAACGGTGGTCGGGCATAGAATGTATTTCAGTAAAAAGTCAATGAACAAAGAACTGGAACGGAATGCAATTGGTATGAAAACGCATGATCAATGAAATCTGAGACAACAGAAACAGTCAAGTTTGATATGATGGATTGAGATTTGCAAATGAACAATTTAATTTATGGTTCTCAGATTTTAGTGAGATGCTCTGTAATTTCGTGTCGAATACATCCGATTGTTCCCACTCGTGTTCTTGTTCACTACATTTGGTGTCTCTGTCAACCAGGAGGGGAAGGGTGCTGTTCTGTGGATGCCGTTGCAGGCCTGTAGCTGGGGTGTCGGTTGGGGCAGTCTGGTGCGGAGAGGTGGCGTCGAGTGGAGTGCTCTGACGGGGTTGCGTTGGCTCTAGTGGGTGCTGTCGACAGATAGAGACGGTGGGATGTGAGGATGATGGGCGGAAATCGGATGCAGATGGCTCAGCAGGCTGCTGGAGTGCAGGCGTTGAACGTCCGATGTGCCGGGTGGATGTTGGTGCCACGGCAGGTAGACGGAGCTACGGAGATCAGCGCACTGCAGATCCGACATTTTGACGGAGGGCGTAGCACAGACTCCAGAAAAGAAGAATGTGGCACGGCAAGCATGGACCACCGCAGTATCGACTACTTTAAAGGGGGTGACGAGTGTGATGTATGCTACTTCTATCGACATAAGTAGTATATGATGTTAGTCGTGAACAGAAGGTCTGGCAGCAGAGAGACAAGAGGATCGAACAGTAAAGAATGAAAGCAGGATACAATTTGTATGAAAATGCAAGAACTATGAAGTCTGAGTAATTTTGAGACGATTGGTGGGCATTTTGTAAATTAAGCATTTGCTAAACGTTTCTCAGATTTTATCGAGATGCTCTGTAATTTAGTACTCAAATACATTCGATTGTCCCACTCGTGTTCTGTTCACTACAATACTATCACTAACAAACCAATCCCGATGAAGGTAATCGCTTTTAGATTTCACGTATGATATGTATAAAGTGTCATTGACAATGTAAGGATTTTGTAAAAGTACTTTTATTTAGCCGATTAATGTTGACAAGAAAAACTCTCTTATGTCATCTATTGTTTGACTGTGATGATACAGTGTGAAAAGGTGAAATTATATCTTCATAGTTTATTGTCTATGGTGCAGATTCTATGTTGGAATATAATCCAATTGAAATTCGCTTCTCAATTAAATCATTGCATTAATGATGAACTTAGCTGTATATAGTACTGTGTTGTATAAACCCTATGAAAAGATCAGCAACTTTATTGATATGATCCACAGATCATGATAGTTTCAAAACATTATTTTTTGACCCTCAGATGATCTAACATATACATCTACCTGTTACGCAGTCAGTAGATTACAACGTAGAAGCTGGTACGTACGTACATCAGTTTGGCTACCTCTACCTATATTCCAGCCTTCTCCTGTATCAGAAGACATTACCTGGGGGGTCGGTGGTGGTTGGTCATATGTAACACATATCCCAACCACCTCAGTTTGTTAAGGTTTAAGGCCTCATCAATACACTTTCCATCCTTACACATTACTCTATTCCTAATCAAAGTATTGCTTATTCAGTGATCCTTAAAGACACAAGCAATGGATTTGAAGACACTTATGATCAAGTACTAATAACCTAAGAATATAGTTTGTTCTTAATGGCATTATTCCAAGTTTGAAGCAGGTATCATTTATAAAACTAATTACAACCTCCTAAGGTACCGGAAAATGAATTAATCCACCATTTGATAAATGAATATCTTCAACGAGAATATACGACCATAAGTGAGAAAAACCCAATCATGGATTAGGAAAAAAGACTCAGTGAAATTTTTGTCAGTCTATTCACAAACTCACTAATGAAAAGACAGAAAAGACATAACTTCGCCGTAGATCCTGCTCATGATTGGTAGTTTGGTATAATTTTATATTAATTAAGAAGTAATCTTTTGTTATCTAAATCACAAATTGATCTTAGCTATTGAAAACAATGAAGCAGTGAACTGCTATTCAATCCTTCCGTGCATAGGACTCGGCAGTTAACATTGCAGATCTCACTAAAGATCAGACCCGGGACTTTCAGGCCTTTTGAAGAGCGCTTAACACTTAGATCATTTAAATGGTATCCAAAGATTTACATTTGATAACTTGACTCACCTAGTTAACTGATGTAATCCCATGGTTTTTTTTATAGTTTTTCATTTAATCTACTTAATTAGTTATTCAGTAGTAAGCTGACTCAACTTTGTTTAATTGTATTTTCTTGTTGTAGAAAACGATAAGAAAACCAATGAATTAACACGATTCAACTCAGCTTCAGATACAGAAGAATTTCTTTCTAATGACTATAAAATTCAAGCATCGATAAGAGCTATGAATTATGGTTACATGGGATGTGATCCAATTCAACCTTCACCATATAATTGGTTACGTAAAGTGAATAACAATGAAACTGTTGGAGATGGATTGCATAATCGTTATTTTATTCCACCAAGATTATGTAATCTAGATTCTAGTATAAATCAGTCAGATAAACTTGTTTCCGCATCGGGTATATCACAACAGCAAACTTTACTGACAAGAGCAAGACGACGACAAATTGACGGTAGATCATTATCATCGTCTATCGCAAAGCATGATGATGCTGAAAGAATTTATGGAATTGTTCCATTATCACCATCTTATTTATATAATCAATTCATGCCATCTACTGGTTTAATGATTAAAGGAATGATGAGTAATAGTAGTAGCAGTGGTAATCGAACTAATCAAGATAATGAGATAAATTTACCAGGAACTATAAGTGCACCACCTGGAACACCAATTAAATTACCATATGCTGCTCCAGCCAGTCTAATTGGTACAACATCTGGCTTTAGTTGCCCAGAATCTGGTTCACAAATAATCAGTGGATTAGGAGGTGATTTAATCTAAATGTTTGTTATCAATGTTAATTATCAATTTATGTAATGGTGGTAGGAAAGGGGATATTTACATAGGAAGCTTTAATGGTAGAATAAATTTGTTTTGTCTTGAGGACCGCTGACTAATATCAAGTCCTTAAGCACTAATCACAATCCCAGTTCTAATCTCATCTGTTCTGTGTCCACTATAACCCACAGTCCCCGATTTGACCAATTACACGTCAGATCACCAATACTGATCTTGAGCCGACATAGCTGAGTTCCCATTAGTCCATTATTCTCAAGCTTCCCTTGATCCTCTACCTTGAGACCAAAAAGTCAGAAATCAACTTCTACTATAATTTTATTTAAACAAACTTGGTTTATATACAGCCATAACAAACCAAATCACCCTATAAAATGCAAAATCATAATTATACATGAACAAGCGAAAAGTAGCTATGAATATAGAGGAGACTGTAAATAAAAGACGGGCAATGATTTATAAATAATAAGTCGTATGAAACTAGTTTATGGGTTAACCGAAAGAGTGTGATACATAGAATGTATACATGTTTACTTACTTACTTACTTACTTACTTACTTACTTACTTACTTACTTACTTACTTACTTACTTACTTACTTACTTACTTACTTACTTACTTACTTACTTACTTACTTACTTACTTACTTACTTACTTACTTACTTACTTACTTACTTACTTACTTACTTACTTACTTACTTACTTACTTACTTACTTACTTACTTACTTACTTACTTACTTACTTACTTACTTACTTACTTACTTACTTACTTACTTACTTACTTACTTACTTACTTACTTACTTACTTACTTACTTACTTACTTACTTACTTACTTACTTACTTACTTACTTACTTACTTACTTACTTACTTACTTACTTACTTACTTACTTACTTACTTACTTACTTACTTACTTACTTACTTACTTACTTACTTACTTACTTACTTACTTACTTACTTACTTACTTACTTACTTACTTACTTACTTACTTACTTACTTACTTACTTACTTACTTACTTACTTACTTACTTACTTACTTACTTACTTACTTACTTACTTACTTACTTACTTACTTACTTACTTACTTACTTACTTACTTACTTACTTACTTACTTACTTACTTACTTACTTACTTACTTACTTACTTACTTACTTACTTACTTACTTACTTACTTACTTACTTACTTACTTACTTACTTACTTACTTACTTACTTACTTACTTACTTACTTACTTACTTACTTACTTACTTACTTACTTACTTACTTACTTACTTACTTACTTACTTACTTACTTACTTACTTACTTACTTACTTACTTATTTACTTACTTACTTACTTACTTACTTACTTACTTACTTACTTACTTACTTACTTACTTACTTACTTACTTACTTACTTACTTACTTACTTACTTACTTACTTACTTACTTACTTACTTACTTACTTACTTACTTACTTACTTACTTACTTACTTACTTACTTACTTACTTACTTACTTACTTACTTACTTACTTACTTACTTACTTACTTACTTACTTACTTACTTACTTACTTACTTACTTACTTACTTACTTACTTACTTACTTACTTACTTACTTACTTACTTACTTACTTACTTACTTACTTACTTACTTACTTACTTACTTACTTACTTACTTACTTACTTACTTACTTACTTACTTACTTACTTACTTACTTACTTACTTACTTACTTACTTACTTACTTACTTACTTACTTACTTACTTACTTACTTACTTACTTACTTACTTACTTACTTACTTACTTACTTACTTACTTACTTACTTACTTACTTACTTACTTACTTACTTACTTACTTACTTACTTACTTACTTACTTACTTACTTACTTACTTACTTACTTACTTACTTACTTACTTACTTACTTACTTACTTACTTACTTACTTACTTACTTACTTACTTACTTACTTACTTACTTACTTACTTACTTACTTACTTACTTACTTACTTACTTACTTACTTACTTACTTACTTACTTACTTACTTACTTACTTACTTACTTACGCCTGTTACTCCTCGTGGAGGAGCATAGGCCGCTGACCAGCATTCTCCATCCAACCCTGTCCTGGGTAATCCTTTCCAGGTCTTTCCAATTGTTATTCATCCTTCTTCATATCTGCATCTATTTCTCGACGTAATGTATTCTCTGGCCACCCTCTTTTCTGCTTACTCTCAGGATTCTAAGTTAGCTCTTGTCTCGTGATGCAGTTTGGTGAATATATACATAGTTACTCAGAAATTATACAATAAGAATGTATATGATAATAATCCATAAATTAGACTTGGAAGTTACTATTACTTTGATTTTCATTCTGATTTATTAAAAGTTCAGTGTACAAATCCCTTGAATTTATAAATGTGTATCATGATTGACCCAGTTGGGGAAATCAAAGTCATGACTTTGGGTAAATAAATAACTTCCTAAATCATATTAGATTGTCTACGTTTACACTTTTGCTTGTCTTCATGTAGTCTTGAGATAGTATGAGGTCTTTTCAATTTCTCACTAGGATTTGACATGTTTGAACCTATTCAGCCTATCAAAGGTCTTGTTTCAGTCGTGTATAAAGTCATAGATAATCAGTATTGACAAAGTCTCACCTAGATAGAAATACAGATCATGAAAAGTTTGTTATAACGCTCGGTTTTACTTTGTCTAATGTATAACGGTTGGGTTTCCACGTATGGGACGTTAATTTACCTTCAACGATTATCTACACTAAATTCCCTCCCAGGGTCTATTCTACAGGACTTTACCACAGCTCAGATCAAGAACATGTGATTAGCCTGACCACAACGTGAATATACTTCCACACTAAAAACTCGACACAATCCAACAACAATGAACAATCAATAATAAGTCAGACGTAATAATAATAAGGATAAGAGGAATATATAACTCATCTGACACCTGTTAGACTACCTACATGTCTGACTAAGCAGACAACCATTATCATTCACGCCTACACATCAAAATTCCTCATAGCATAATGACAATAATAATCTCTAAATATTTGTACCGGTACATCACCAAATATGTGGTATTGTAGTTATATCAATCAACACAGTGTTTTTTGATAATTCACCATTCATTGTAAGATATGAAGAGGTCAAGTTCTATTTCCGTCAGGGTCTTTGGTGAGGATTCCCGATAAGTCTCACACTAGGACGTAACAACTTTCTAGTGTCCCCTGGTTTCCGATAACACCTCAACTGAAATCGATCTATGACATGTACAAACTGTTGATGATGTATATAAGTAATATTGAAATATCAAATAATAATTAAGTCTGATATCCAGATTTCAATATTATTAACAAGTGATTAAACTACAAAACTTTTATTCATCTAATCTGTTTGTTTATCTCAGGTAAAATTTGTGTAGCAGAAATTGAATGATGTAATCTTCTATCGAAATAAATAACGATCAAGTGAGGTGTGTGTGTGTGTGGTCAACTCACTAAAATGTTCCTGTCTTCCTGATAAACGGAAATAAATATTGGTACAGAGGGGCCCCGAATACATATGGGCCACAAAAGTCACTTGATTTGTGTGTGAGCTGTAGTACTGCCCGGGCACCCAGATCGAAGCAGGTGATTTTCTTGTGGGGGGGCACACCTGGAGACTTTGACCTAAAATCTGATCCACGAGACAGTGGAGTAACGTCAGGAAATTGAGTTCCATGGTAGCCGGTAACCAATAATAGGTTCATACGCCATTTGTTCTTTCAGGATCCTTGAGTCCATTTGCACCACTCAATTAGAATCAGGGTTTCTCAACCCCCTAGGTGGATCCTCCATGTCCACCAGCCCGCTTAAAGTGCTGGAAATTCGCTTTTCGTCCTTCTAATTTCGTGAATAACACCCCCGCCACGAGAAGGCAATGAGTAGGACTTCCCTGGCAGTGGCTAACTCCTCACACCCTCGGCCGTACCGGGGCATTTGGTGTCACACACTTATCATTGTCAGTACTTTTTGAGTTTTTATTTTGTAAACTAACTTCCCATTTATCTATAAACTATATTCAATATTACATTATTGTTTGATTTTTACTAGTGAATGGTTCAAGGCTATCGCTTACTTCAAATGGATCTTGTGTATCTACGGTAAGAAGGTTATTTCTTTTCTTTATACTTCTTTTTGGTATAGAACTTAAAAGATAACCGACTAACTTGTTGTGGAGTTTAATAAACTTGAGGAAAATCTCGATTATGAACTGTTAAAAGTGAAGAAATATTTAGATATTTGTTCGGCGCTAGTATGATACTACTCATATGTGTGCACTCAGGACTAAGATTAGAGATGACACTTTGAATTTTCAGGTTTCACAGTGTATGTGTCTTATTTTTACATTCCTGAGAAGTTCGTACACACTGCTAATGAATCTCATCCCAAAAGAAACAGTTATCCAGTACTCCGTGCTTTTCTATGGATTACCAAGCATTCACCTTAGGGACCTGGAAGTTCTAGGTTCGACCTGCAGTACGGTCGTCGATGTTCACTGCTGAAAAACAGCCTTTCATATGATCAAACAGTTGTCTAATATCTTATAACCTTCATTAACTATCTGATTTAAGTTATTAAACGATGCAAAGTGACAAAACTCAACGACCTCTACAATCATCTGTACCATAAATCCCTTAAATTGATAGTCTACAGAAAATTGATGATAACTAACAAACTGAAATTAAACTCAAGTGAAAAAAAACTATAACTCACTGTTAAACCGTCCAGTTGACATTGGTAATCATAACGTGATCTACAACATTGATCAGATAATATACAGGGTTGAATATGGGTCAACTTTAGTTGAAATACGTGCATTCTGAAAGAAGTACTTTGATATAAATAATCTGTTACTAGATATATACAGATAATGGATCATGATCAACAGTGGAGTTTAGGATGCATACTTTGTTCTGTTTCAGACTGATTAGCTGTTCAAAACTCCATCCCCTGATGATATTTACAATCAGACATGAACCCAGTCTCTTTATTTTCACAAAATAACCCATTATCCTCGGAGTTCAGATAGACTAAAACTTTTCAAATGGGCATGAATGCCGTCCTGAATACCAGTGACTGACATATATTATATGACAAGACTGATCAAATCATACACATAAATATATGTATTTACTTGTTTTTGCAATGAACATTTCAACATAGAAATTTTCGTAAAAATAAAAAAAACTATATATTAGTAAGCAAAAATGGATAGTGGTTAGCACTGGAATCCAGGACGTGTGTTTCGTCCTATTCATGACTCATCCATATTTACTTATAAAGCTTGTGAATTAATGTCGATCCAATATGCATAGTATTCACATATTTCAATAACAGACTGATCAATTACAATCTTAAACCAAAATGGGAAGATTCAAGCAAAGAATACCAAGTGAATTTACATTAATTTTCAGATCTCACTCTACTACTTGTATATATTTCAGTAGTTTAACGCTTTTCAAAGAAAAAACGCATTAAGGCAATTGCGTAATTGCTTACTAAGTTTCGTGTTTTAAATCTAATCCCATTAATTTAATTAAACTTGTAAATTGACTAACAATGGAATTTAGTACATTTATCTCATCTCATTTAAGAACTGTCAGCTTGACATCCCATGGAAAACCTGCAAGAACTGGACGGCCGTTTCGTCCTAGAATCGGACTCCTCAGCAGTGCGCATTTACGATCCCACACCCGCGAGATTTGAACACAAGACCCATTAGTCTCGCACGCGAGCGCTTAACCACTAGAAAATTGAGCCGGACGGCTCCCAATGGTGTTTATGTCTAACTTCAACCAATCCACGAAATTGCGCCACCGTACACGATTGTCTTCAGTGAGTTGGTATCCCACAACAGACCTGGTTGAACTCCAGTGATAACGGCTTCTCACTAGAACTCCAGGAGTATTTCTTGAAGTCAGTCATAAATTGTCAGTAATGAATTATACTGCTGAATAACTATTCAATATTACTTGACTACTGATATCGTAATGAAGAAATGATTCATTTGAGACAGATTTTCAATGATAGATTAAAATCAACAGTCTACTATCAAAACTAGTTCATTATGATTGACAAGATTTAGATTGCTCATAGACTTTATCTAACTCTTCAGCTTTTAAGTTACCTACTTAGCTTTTTTATCCACTGTTAAAGTCATTTATAGGTTGATTAGGTTTCAGAAAGAATCTTTTGAAATTCTATTAGAAGGTTCTGATATGTGATATAGTTCAACTTTACCAAAAATGATTATTTTGTCAAATAACTATGAATTGATTAAAGATATAAGTGTGTGCTACTAATCTCAACAGATATAAGTAGTATGTAAAATCAATCTAAAGTGAAATATTTGGAGGTAGAAGGTTAAGAAGATGAAAGAAAAGAGAACAAGAACAAAGAATGATTAGTGTGGAATCGAAATAACCATGAAGTCTGACACCATTGATTGACATTTGCAGAAGGAAAAGTCAAGTTTGAAATGAAGTATTTAATGTATGGTTATCAGATTTTACTAAAATACTCTGTAAATCTATATTCCCCACTTGTGTTCTCGTTCACTACAGTATTACACTTTCTCTGAAACACTTAAACGTCATGAGCACAGTATCATCTACAGTGGTATATCTTTGCATATGTCTATAGAATGACGAGTTCTTAATAAATGTGAACTTCAAATCGAATGAGTTCGACCAGATCCTCTGTAGTGAACAAGAACACGGGTGGGGCAATCGAATGTATTTGAGCACTAAATTACAGAGCCTCTCGATAAAATCTGAGAACCGTTTAGTAAATGCTTAATTTACAAAATGTCCACCAATCGTCTCAAAATGACTCAGAATTCATTGTTCATACAAATTACATCCTGTTTTCATTCTTTACTGTTTGATCCTCTTGTCTATCTGCTGCCAGACTCTCTGTTACGACTAACATCATATACTACTTATGTCAAAATAAGTAGCACACACCACACCTCTACCTTAACAATCGGACCCATAGAATTCAGTTCATTTGAAGAACTTATATCAAAACGGTGTTTTATGTATACATTTGTAAGTTATATTGAAGTGGATTTCAATTCACCGTCATAGTGAATATATATTTTTTGATATGTATATATTAACCTGATTGTATCCCTTTTTCAAATATCTATTCTAGGTAGAGGAAAAACAAGCTGAAGAAGTGAGTTCAGTTTTATGTTATGTTTCTTGATTAATATATTTATATATTTGTTGCTTTTATTACAATAACAACTTTGATTTGCTCATTATCAGTATTAGGTTGCAAAGATTGTTAAATTTTATTAAAATCATGAACCGATCTAAGCTAAGCCAGTGGATGTCCGTTTCGTCCTGATGTTGGACTCTTTAGCAGTGTACATTCACGATCCCTCACCAAATGGAATCAAAACCAAGCAGTTTGAGTTTGGAGCTCGATCGGTTAACCTCTAAAACACTAACTCCGCATCCAGTGGTTTTTCTTACATCAAGCTTGAATAGAGAACTAGTGTACCAGATGGAAGTAGGCCATGCAAACAAATCTAACAAAATAACTAGTGTTTAAATGACCTAGTCTTAAAGGGATTTCATGGAAAGTGTTGAGTTTTATGGTTTACAGCATGCATTGATCTTAGTTGGACTATCAGCATTCCACAGTTACAATGTCCTTGTAGTCAATAGTGAATGATTTCGAGAGGTATTTCTTGAAGTTTTTGTGAGAAGTCGTGACCAGTGCAGTTCAAATTTTACTTATTAATGACATTGAACGATGGTTGAGCAATATCACAGACTGAGTGACTTAAGATAATACTAACTATTAGGTACCTAGCCAATAATCTGGAAGGCAAACTCTCATAATGAAACTCAAGTGTCCTTGATTTGATCCTTAGTGGTGGGGTTGTGCGTGCACACTGCTGAAAAGTCTCATACTAGAAAGAAACAGGTTTTCAATGGCTTCGTGGTTCAAAGTGTTGGAAAAGTCCCAAAATGTCTCTCATTAAATTCTCTAAAAGCCTAGAAGCTCCAGGAAATGTTTTATCCAATCAGCATTGAATAGAATCACATATCACAATTCTGACTGGATAATTATCTATACCACTGATATAGTTAGTATGGTCCCGGAAATTTGCAGAAGCGCAAGTTCATGGAAGAATCCATACATAACCTTGCTTCTTTTGTACATGAACTAACCATAAATTAAAGCTTTTACACGTAATTCGTACCTTCTTTTTATTGTTCCAGTTGACATGCAGAAGTAGTCTAGAGTTATAGGAACTAACTCGAAAGACATTTTACGCGTATCGGTAGTAAGATATATCACTTTGTGCACATCCATGACCCTTCATCAAAGGGAATCAAAATCAAGCAGTTTGAATTTGGAGCTCGAACGCTTAACCTCTAAACCACTGACTCCGTATCCAACGGTTTTTCTTACATCAAAATTGAATAGAGAACTAGTGTACCAAATGGAAGTAAGCCATGATTAGTCAGTGATTGAAGACTGATATGTTTGATTACATTGAATTTAAGAGATCACACATTGTAAAGTTTATTCTGTTTAGATTTCACTTAAATTTTACGTCTATCGGTAGTAAGACATATCACTTGGTCCTTCGTTACTAATTCAAGTCACCTTTCTTTTTCTTTCACTATAACATTTTTCAAGGAATTCTTGTCAATATTTTTGTTTGTTTGTTTGTTATAGATACAAAAACTTAAACGTAAACTTGAACAAGCTGAGAAAAAAGTTAGTGAATTAACAACACAATTAACAACGAATGTAAGTTCATGGTAAATTTTCTTTCTTTCTTTCTATGAATCTGTCAAATTTCTTCTTTCATTCTCTCCTTCCTTTCTACTTTCCTGCTTTCCTTCCTTCTTTCTCTCTCTCTTTCCTTCTTTCTTTCTAATAATAAATGCGACCAACGATTTCAGTATGACTATCGACAGAGGAAACAATCACCATTTCAACATTAATCTAATGTCCTAATTTGAGATTATTCTAAATTATGAATGATTAAGAGATTTTGTTTCCTTTACGAATATGAGACAAGATTTACGTAAACTAGACAAACCTGATAACTAATACATGATACATACAATTGTGATGTGTACTACTTATATCAACATAAGTAGTATATAACGCTAGTCAAGAATAGAATGTCTGGCAGCAGAAGGTCAAGAAGATCGAGAAGAAAAGAACATGAACAAAAAGCAACTGGTATGGTAATGCAGGAACAATGAAATCTGAGACGATTGATAGATATTTTGCAAATGAAGTCTTCACTGTATGGTTCTTTGATTTTACTAAGAGATTCCGTAATTTCGTGTTCACATACGTTCAATTGTACCAACTTGTGTTCTCGTTCGCTACATTATGACTAGAATTGTACGTCCACTTGACTGATGAGAGACTAAAGTGAGAAACTAGGACTTCATTGAATAAACGTGTTATTCAAAGAAGTCGTAATAGCAACAGAACAATTTTATTTAAATTAAGAAAGGGGTTTTGTAGATATTATAGTAATTTAATGGTTGAATTCATGAGACAATTGAAGCTAGACCACCATGGAAAACCTGGAAGCACTGGACGGCCGTTTCGTCTCAGAATGGGACTCCTCAACAGTGCGCATCGACGATCCCGCCACTCGTGAGATTTGAACCCAGGACCCATCACTCTCACGTGTGACCGCTTAACCATTAGACCACTGGTAATATTCAACTGTTCACTAGTGACTGACTTCAAGAAATAATCCTAAAGTTCTAGTGAGAAGCCGTTACCAGTGGAGTTCAAGCAGGTCTGTTGTGAGATATCAACTCACTGAAGACAATGGTGTACAGTGGCGCAACTTCGTGGAATGGTTGAAGTTAGACATTAACACCGTTGGATGCCGGCTCAGTGGTCTAATGGTTAAGTGCTCGCGCGCGAAACTAGCAGGTCCTGTGTTCGAATCTCTTGGGATGGCGGGATCGTGGATGCGCACTGCTGAGGAGTCCGATTCTAGGGCGAAACGGCCGTCCAGTTCTTGCAGGTTTTCCATGGTGGTCTAGCTTCAATTGACTGGTGATTTCAATCAGTGGAATAGGGTTTTGACAATATAGCTGATGTCCGTTCGTGATGAAAATCCTTAATCTAATTACTAATCTTAACCATCATACTGTAAATCATAGTTCTGATTCTTCATACAGGTTTACAACCCTCATTTGATCCTGGTTATTAGGTGAACCCTCTCAAGGTCAGTCTAGCATCACTCAAAGGTCGTCCATAAATTATAATCTCACCGTTATTTCATGTAGATTTATGAATTGAACCAATTACAATGTAAATATTATTGATATTTATAGTTTGATAGAATGTATCCAAGGAGTTTAACATTTTATGGCATTCATGAAGCTATCATAGATCATTTTAATAGTTTTGAAGTTTCTCTAATATTGTTGTGTTCAATTCCATGTGAAATGAATCAAAATATCTTATTTTTACTAATAGTTTCATAGGAGCGAAGTCAATTAGTACTAATGATAACAGTTATAATGATCAATATATGAAGTGGTTTTAATAAAGTTTTGTTCTCTGATTTGGATGGTTTGGTCGTGGACGTCATCAGCGCAAACATCAGGTTAGAGTTTGTGCTGATGACGTCCACGACCAAACCATCCAAATCAGAGAACAAAACTTTATTAAAACCACTTCATATCTTTCTTTCTGCGAATTAATTCTTTCTTCCTGTACCATATCCTTATGTGCAATCTTTCTTCTATATATTACCACCAATGAGTTAACTACTTCTATGAATTTGCTCTTCATCTTGTTGTGCTAATGAGGTATGGCAACTTGGACTGATGTACATATGTGCCTGGTTGTACGTTGTAGCTGACTGACTGATCTCAGTTACAAATCTCCACCATCTAAAAGTATTTGAAGTATGTCTTATCTCTAATGGTGTAAACTATAAATTTTATCAATTAGATGATAATATATGACAACGTGATCAAATGTACAGTGTTAGATAGTTGGAGGCAACTAATAAGAGGCCGGTTGAATAGATGGCCTAAGTTCCATTCTAGTTAGTATCAGTTAATCAATCACTAAGTACAAAATTCAATTGGTTACTACCCAATATGTTTAAATCTCATCCCTAAATTAAAAGTCAATTACAGTATGAATAACTGATTATTAGCATTTATGAATATGGTTAGTTCAAATCTCACAGGGTGGTTCGTATCAGTTCTTTCATGAATGTAAGTGTAGACTTTGTTCGTATTAAATATCAAGCTGGATGAAATGTAGGTCTTAACGCGGCCTTCTGACAAATATGCATTCAACTATTAAACTTCATCAATAATGATAATTTACATTTATAAATGCGTTAGTGAAATTATAACATTCCAATGAATTTTCATTTTATTCTAAGTAATATTTGCTTAATGTTATAAGATGGTGGTTGGAGATAGTTAACAGGAAACCCTGGACCTGCATGGCACCCGTCAACAAGGTGTACCTCCAACCACCATCTTATCTCAGCATAGTGCATCCAATGTCGAGTCACCTAGACTGGTGGCCACATTGCAACTTGATCGATAGGATTCAATCTGCACTAAGAAAGAACTGACATACATGACATTGATCACCACCCACTGATCAATTAATTATCCTTAATGTTATTCACAGCAAGTAGTAACATGTTGGCAACATACTTGAATAAATAAACTTTAAAAAGGTTTTATTCCTTATAATGATTTTGTTAACATTTATGTTTTCCTATATAATATTTATTGACATTTTCATGATATTTTTGGCATATCTATACAAAGAGTAAATAGACATTAATGCAGAAAACAAGAATACATTCGAGAGGTTTTCAAGGCATCCCAACATAACCTTAATCTCTCATCAACATTAATAATAATAATAATAATAATAATAATAATAATAATTAGCGTACATATCTCACATGGAAAGAATGAATATTTAATAATTTCCCATTTAAAACTCCCCCCTAACACACATACACAAACATTTACATACACTGCTTGAGTGTTCCCTTCGCATCCATATACACCTCTGATTAAAGCGAGAGAGAGAGAGGCGGAACAGTTTTCAATAAGTGTATTCATTAGTTTTCTTTATGTCAGTGAATACATGTATATGCACTGAACGGCTGTTTCGTCCTATTGTGAGAAGCCTCAACAGTAGGCATCCATGACCTCGCCTCGCGGGATTCGAACCCAGGACCTACTGGCCTCACGCGCGTGCGCTTAACCACTAGACCACTCAGCTGGCTGGCATCCAACGGTGTTAATGTCTAACTTCAATTAATACATGAAATTTAGCGACACATCCACCATTGTCATCAGTGAGTTATTATTTCACAACAGACCCGGTTGAACTCCACTGATCACTGCTTTTACTAGAACTCCAGGAGTGTCTCTTGAAGCCAGTCACTAATAAGCATTTGTTGATTAGTATCAGAAGGGGTTTTGTGGAGATTGTAATAATTTTAATAATTGAGATCATGAGTCAATTGAAGCTAGATCACCATGGAGAACCTGGAAGCACTGGATGGCCGTTTCATCCTAGTATGAAACTCCTCAGTAGTGCACGTCCACGATCCGGCCTCAGTGATCTAGTAGTTAAGCACTCACGCACGAGACTGATAGGTCCCGTGTTTGAATCTCGCTGGGAGGATGGGTGAGCACTGTTGAGGTGTCCCCATACTAGGAAGAATCGGCCGTCCAGTGCTTCCAAGTTTTCCATGGTGGTCTAGCTTCACTTGTCTCATGAATTTAACTATTAAATTACTATAATTTCTACAAAACCCCTCTCTAATTATGAACATAATATAAATGTTAGATTTCATAATAGGTGATTACCGGAGTATTACAAGTCAATAAAACGTTTTTCTTTAAACAAATAATAGTACACAATTGCATAATTCTATACGCACTGAATACATACATCTTTTTTCATACTCATCATGATGAACAGTCATGAGAATATGTTTCCTAAGAGTGTAAATGCTGCGATAGCAACAAAAAAATTAAAATAACCTATTAATTCGATCGATACAGTATTACATAAGTAGGCATACGTGTGTGTGTGTATATATATATCGAAAAACAAAACCGATTCACTACCGGTAAATTGTAGTAACTGTAGTGAATGTGCCCGTATATACACACACGCACACATACATTGCTGCTTTATAGACACTTGTTTGTTTGGTTGTTTGCTTGAAAATTAAATTGTCGAATAGATATTTCCAATCCGTTTTAACTTTCAAACTATAAATACACTTCACATTCCTCAAGAACCGATCAATAAGAAGAATGGGGGTGTATGGGTGTATGGGTGTGTGTGTATGCGTGCACGTTTATAAAGTGTAATACAATGGTGCATGATCCCAGTTTTCTTAAATCGTTTCTTGAAAAAGATAGTAAAGATTCCTTTGTTCCTATGGCTATGTGTTATTAGTATTGTCTATCATTGTAAAAATGAACATCGTAGACATGTACATAGATATCCGAAGGGATGGTTTTAAATTAGTAGAATAACATCGAACATTTCCAATTGAATCATTCAAATGTGCTTATATGTCTCTAGGTCGGATACATATGTGCATTTTATGTGTATCTATATATTCTTTGAAGTTTTATAATGTTTAACAGTTGAATAGTCAGCAACTAGGATTGTATTTCTGATCATCATCATCATCATCATTATGATGCCGGAATAGGTACGTGTACATACACATACACACACACACACTGATATTCGTC